GTATATAAGTCTTTTATTCATGTCTATATTGGCACATTGTATTCTTCCACATCCATACTATTGATCGTGGTCCTTTATGCCCACAGTATCATAGTACTTCCCACTTAATCAAATCGGTAAGGCGTAAGATTGTACCTTGTACCTAAATTGAGTAATGTATTCCTTTTCTTTTTTCTGAACATATTCTTTTCCAATTGTCTCCCTTGGGCCCTTTCCCTTTTTAGTTAAGCGTTCGACCCTGGGATGATGACTTATGATGTCCTTCCTGTCTAAAGTATCTATTATGTTACATCCCTATCAGTAGTGTTATATGGCCATACTTTTTCATAAGGTTCCCTCCTTGTCCAAAGTATTTTATAAAATATCCTTACCTCTCATAGTGTTATTTATCTATATCTTGATATTTAATGTCTCCTGTCTATTTTGTTACATAGTGTCCAATTATCCATTGTGTTATATAAGTTATCTGTCTGATGTGCTGTACAGTGTTCCCTCCCTCCCAATCTGAAGTACTAAATTGTATCCCCTCAACATCTATAAAGTAAGACCTTCTTTTCCTTTGTCTATTGAATCTTTTCCTTATTTTTCATAGTGTGCTGCATTGCCATTACCGCTTAAATTTTTAACAGTGAAATACCTACCTATGATAAATGCGTTTAATGATTGTCCAAACGATATTTTAGGAAATAAAAATGAAATAGCTTGACAAAGTGACTTGGTACATGGAAAATAAATCAATCCTAAACTGCTGATAGACGTATGAGCGGAAAATTTGATCAAGAATAAAGTTGCGCGAGATCTCCATCATCACTAAACGGCGAAGCTAACAGCCTTTAAATGAAGTGTGTACAGAAAATGGACAGTCACATAAATATTTGCCATTAAAGATCGATAAGTAGCACATTGTCGGGTGTCAGTAGCGGCGATATATTTCTAAACTTATGAAGTATTTTTGTAAAGTATATGGCATATAGACCATGTCTAATTAGCTTGACTAGGAAGTCAATTGTAACCACTCTGACACGGGACCACTTATTTCTGTACATAATACATTTCTTCTAGACAACCTCCACCAGTGGTGTATATCTTTCTGTACAATTTGACCTGAATTTATTCGCCAAAAATAACATTACCAGCAGGATATGTCCATTCAGGAAATTAACTTCTTAATTAAGCAAAGTCATGAAATTAATTTCTTTCCTTACATCTATTCATTTTGTAGACTGTATTATGCAGCCAACATTCAATTATAAGAGAATATAGCGTACAATATTTGCTAAGCTCAGTCAAACACACAAAAAAAAACTGACCACCATTACCGTATTACACCTTTCACTTATACGGGAAAGCATGTATAATAACGGAAAAAAGAAAATGCTTTAGCTTACATATTTTACTTATTAAAATAATCGGAACATTTTTCTCACTAGTATTTCTAAAATCACATTTCGAAGTATCAAAACTTTGTTTGATAAGTAAAACCTTAAATATTTTGCTTTTGTGTCGCTTCTGTGGTCATACCGGGAGAACAGCCAAATATTCCTGCGTGTATGGATAGTATTTTACACGCTTTATCAAGAAATAGAGCCATCTTGCCAGAAACATGTCACGTTTTCGCAAAAATGAACGATTGCGTGCTATTGGCTTGTTAAAGGCAGAAATATCTCAGAATAATGTAGCAAGACAATTTTGGGTTCACATTAATACGATAAATGCTTTGTGAAGATGTTTTCAGTAAATATGGGTCGGGACCGGCCACGAACAGGACGACCACGTGTGACGCAATGTTGGTAAGATATGTATATACTGACGTTACTGGTTCCAGGCATCTTTGACCGCTAGAAGCATTTCGGGACTTTGACTTATCATTTCCTGAACCAGTAGAAACAGGTGGCTTGAGGCAAATATCCAGCCTCTACGTCCTTTTAACCGTCAAGTTTTGCTTCAATATCATCACACAGTTGCGCCTTTTGCCTGGTGAAAGCGACTCATCAACAGGGACTGGTCCTAAGTGCTATACAAAGACGAGTATATATTTCGCAATGACGGTCGTGTTTGGGTTTATTGTTGGAATAGGTACCTTGACAGTGACGTTTGTGTAATTCCGCATCGTCATTTCAGCGCAGGAAGCATTATAGCCTGAGGGTAACTTTACAATCCTGGAGGGACCCCTTCGATTATAGTGGAAGTCAACTTTGCATCAGCATCCAAATCTCCCTATAACGTTGGATGCATGGAACCAAATTAGGTATCAGATGAGTATATTGGTCAAAATCTGTCAATATTTGTCGGAGGCACGGTACTTTAAAAAGTTAGTTTTCTCTCAGTTTTACGGTCCAGTTTCAGCCAAATTTCATATTTCTTGTTTTTTAACAAGATTTCAAATTAGTTTGATATTATTCAAAACGTGTAGATTTTCCAGAGTTTAAGACAAAATAGACGATTTCTCCGAGTCCGTCATTGATAGTAATTCTCACCCAGCAGTCAACAATATGTTATATTGATAGTAATTCTCACCAGGCAGTCAACAGTATCTTACATTGATAGTAATTCTCACCCACCAGTCAACGTTATTTTTCATTGATAGTAATTCTCACCCACCAGTCAACAGTATCTTACATTAACAGTTATTATCACCCAGCAGTCAACAGTATCTTACATTGATAGTAACTCTCACCCTGCAGTCAACAATATCTTACATTGATAGTAATTCTCACCCACCAGTCAACATTATCTTTCATTGATAGTAATTCTCACCCAGCAGTCAACAGTATCTTGCATTAACAGTTATTATCACCCAGCAGTCAACAATATGTTACATTGATAGTAATTCTCACCCTGCAGTCAACAGTATCTTACATTGATAGTAATTCTCACCCAGCAGTCAACAATATCTTACATTGATAGTAATTCTCACCCAGCAGTCAACAATATCTTACATTGATAGTAATTCTCACCCAGCAGTCAACAGTATCTTACTTTGATAGTCATTCTCACCCACCAGTCATCAGTATCTTAAATCAATCATGGTGTGAAGTGTTTAAGTGGAGTTCAGTTGTCTTAAATACAAACAGAAAGAATCCATTTGAATTAAAACTGATAGCACAACTTCAGTTCATGTCATATGATCCAAGATGCAGGGTTTCAGAATGAATGTGACTAAATTAAACTTTCTAACCATAATTTACATCGTGGTTTATGTACATTTTGTTGATCTTAGCCCTGATACTGTCAAACATGATGTCCGATCAATTTTAATACAGAAACTGGTAGCAGATACAACATCTATACAGCACCTAGCTGATACAGTAAAAAGATCTGGCCTCGGTTGTTCAAAGACCAGGCAGAGATAACCAGGGGGTTAGTAAAAACTTTCAAATAGGAATCAAGCAAAATTGTGTACACTCTTTATCGTTTCAACTTTGTTGAGAAAAGGCAATTATTTGTTGAGTGTCAAGTTTGCTTTTTAAAGTCATGTTTATTCAGTGGCAACAATATGAATATTTCTCTAACCACTGGTTAACGTGAGCTAATCTTTGTTCAACCCAGGTCTTTTGATATATTGTGACAAGTCCAATTTGCTAACTAAAGGGAAATAAATCTTACAGCTTGAACCAAAGAATGACAATGAAAATAAAACAAGTGGCAAGAACTCAACAACCAAAATAAACAAGAATTCGAAGGAAGTGATTGTGTCGCCTGCCTAGCAAGGTTTTTGGAGACGAGTTTTATGGAACAATAGCCATAGATATTAATTGCTTTTATGCCATTTATATAACTTGTCCATTTGTTTGTGATGTGATGAGTAAACCTGCAGTTTAGATTATAGTGTTGAAGGGAAATGTATCATGAGAATAGATCCGTATATCATAATTACCCATAGCATTAGAAATTCTTTTTTTTTAAATACTGATTTGCTCCATATACAGCAGGAACAGGGAAAATTAATTTTCTTTTTACTGCCACAACGAATTTCACCTTTGACCTTTTGACCAAAACGGCAATCCAAAGCAACTACCTTTGGTAAGGTTATCGTACAAATTTTCTATCTATAGTAACAGTGACCTTGACCTTTGACCTTCACACCGTTGGTAAGGAATCACTCCATGAAGTTTCAATGTAATTGTCCAAAGAAAACTGAGTTATTGCATGAAAACCAATCTCCTATATAGGGTTACACTGTCCTTGACCTTCAAACCTCAAGCAAGCAGTTCTGATAAGGAAGCACTGAATGAAGTTTCAGGTAGATCAGCGAAAATGTACTAAATTATTGAAAAAAAAAATCCTATTTATAGTAACGTTCACCTTGACCTTTGAACATTGGACCTGAAAAGCAATGCGAAGCAAGCACTTTTGGTAAGGAAGCACTGTATGAAGTTTGATGCTGATCAGCAAAAGGGAATAGAATTTATTACAAACAAAATTAATTTTCTATTTCTAGTAACAGCTACCTTTACCTTTGACCTTCGCACCTGAAAAGCAAGCAAGCATCTGGTAAGGAAGCATTGTATGAATTTTGAGTTTGATTGGCCAAAGTCAAATAAAGTGTTCACGAAAAAACCAGACGACAGCACCTAGATGTTGTCTGCGGCGGGCAGGCTACACAAAAATTGGCAAGAACTCAACATTCAAAGAAAATAAATGGATTTTTCTAAAAGTAGCAAGAACTCAACATTCAAAAGATATCAACAAAAAGAGAAAGATGGATCACCCGTAAATTCTCTATAACTTCATCTACAGTTGGATTTCTTCCACCTAGACAGATGACAAACAGAGGAAAGCAGATATATTACAGTAGAGTACCTATATTTTAAGTGTTAAGGTCTTAGTCTACAGTAAAACTAAGGAGCATATTTTTACAGTTTGTCACAAAAAAGCAATGTTATATGTAATAAATCTATTTTTTTGTTTCAGCAAAATTTTCTCATTACAGAATGTCTATAAATGAAACTTTGATAATACAACAACAAATTTCAAAACTGAAGTCTATGTTCTTAGAGTCAATTACTACACTGCAAGATAAACAACTTTCACAATTGTTCATGTGAACAGAATAACATTATGTCTCAAGGCTCTCATTAGAAATAGAATATCATTGAACAACAAGATCTTACTGGCTACACTAAAACTCTCACTTTCCAATGAACTAGAAGATCCTACAAGCTACAGTGATACTCTCATTTTTCATTGAACAACAAGATTTTACTGGCTACACTTACACTCCCACTTTCCAATGAACTAGAAGATCATACAAGCTACAGTGACACACCATGCCTTTTGACATATTACCAACATACCTCATTTTCCATTGCTGGGTTTACTTCTCCATGTAGAGATGGTTTATGGTTGCTGTCACTAGAAGTAACTGACAGTTCCACGACCCTTGAGCCTTCCTCCTCACGTTCAACACCCTGATAAGACTGGGGTCCTATCCAGCTGAGGAGAACTGGCAGGTATACAAGTCCGTGGAACACTCCAAACACCACCACCAGTAGAAAAACCTGTAAGCATCACAATCAGGTGAATGCTTTACACTCAACAGTCCATTCAATTTGAAAAGATTGATACAATGGACTCAGAACCTGAATCTACTAATGCCCAAAGTCTATTAATGAGCTTTAACAGATTCTTATTTGTAATGTTAAAGAGACATAATCACAAACTGAAGATTCATTGTATATTAGTAATACCGTGAACATGAAACATTCAACAGCACTGCCGACTCGCATACATCTGGGTAGGTAAATATTAACCAAGATATTGCCAGACTATCCGGGTACAGGAATGATAAACATGGCTTATCTAGAAATATAAACACTATATATTTACCTTAAAAAACGTGGTAAACACATAACTGTTACTGAGGGCAAGAAGGATGAAAGCCAAGAAGGTACTGAAGGCCCCACTAAACACTGGGCTTCCCATTTCAACAAGAGTGCCACGAACTCGGGCTACAACAGCAAAAATATCAAATATAATATTAAAAGAAAGTAAAAATGTATGTCATTAGATATCAAAACACTTGATAGCCATCTGGTTCTTGTGACATTAAATAGTCAGAAAAGCAGAGTTCTAACATCAAATAGTCAGACTGACTTCTACCATTAAATAGTCTGAAAAGGAGACATATTTCTTGCACTAAATTGTCAGGAAAACAGACTGACTTTTTACACTAAATTGTCAGGAAATGAGACTGATAATAATTTAAAAGTCTTTATGTGGCAGCTAATGAATATAAAAGGAACTAAACATTCATGTCAAATTTCCTGAAATTTTTTATTGAATAAGTTTGTACTTTGGACAAAACCATTCATTTTGTTGCTGTCTTAAAATTATTTAAAATTGACATCACAAATTAGCCATAACTCCTGCTGAATCAGTAGAGCCATAACTCCTGCTGAATCAGTAGAAACACAAGATAAATTGTGAAGATACAACTCTCCCTTTAAATTTTCATTTGCCATGTTCTTCTTCAGACTGATCAGAAAATACAAGTTTCTGTGACATAGTTTTGACTTTAGTGATCTATTTATGGCTTTTTCAACCTAATTGTAATTTGGCAGAATATTGTTCAAAGAAAAAAATTGTGAGATGTATTATTCTTTTTACAAGAATGATCAATGTTATGTAGAATGTACTATGTTAAGACTTTGGTGTCTGTTCCATTATAATAGGAATATGATGGAAAATTCAACAGTGTATACCTGTAGCGTTTGAAAATATGTATCAAGGCATGAACAACAGTGGCTCAATATACCTATACATTTCTTTGTGTATGTAGGAAGTGTATGGTGTATTTAACATGTGTAATATGTAAAAAGGAAGCTATGTTGAATTGCTTGTAAAATATTTTCTGCATCCTTGGATAAAGAATAAAAGTGTTGTGTTTTCAGCGTGATTGCAAAATTGTCTTTGAAGCATAAAAATTGCAATATTTCATAAAAAAAAAGGAGTGTTTGTAGGTGGGCGGTACAATTTTGTACCAGAAAATTTGTCTCACAACCTGATTATAGTAATGATGAATTACACTTGTCATAATATTGTAAAAGGTCAAGGAGATGTAACACTATAATGACATTTTTCTCACCTAACAGCATTTAACAGAATAATTTCACTCTAACACAGCTCAAGTATGTTCAGACATCAGTAACACATTAATAGCTTTAAACGGATTAAATAAAAATGTTATCTTTCATCGTTCTTTTTACAAAATATTGGACAAAGGCTAATTGAGATTGGTACTTAATGACTAAATCAGTACATACAATTCCGGTCTCCAGTGAAAGTCATGAAATAGTGGCCGATGTGTGCCGAGTAGTCAATAGCCAGATCTATAGCCAGGATAAGGATGATACTGGTCACCGTGTCAATGGTCAACCCCCAGAAGTGCATCATCCCTCCTACGTCCAACTGGGGATAACAAAGGTTAGTATAAAAACACCACAAAAAGACATGAATAAGGAGGTCTGAAATTATTCTAACATCATACATCATTTGTGGAGTAAACTATTCTGGAGAGTGATATTATATATCAACTCTCTCATGTTGGTCTTATCAATCTTTTATATGTTAATGATAGTGATGCAGCTGACACAAAGTATTAAGGATTCAATATTTTTTCTGAAAGAAATGATGACTAAGTAAGCAAGAACATGCTGCTAACAGGCTATTTATCTGACCTTCAAACCACATAAATATGCATAAATATAGATAGACCCAATCACAAACTCTTTATCTGACCTTCAAACTACATAAATATGCATAAATACATAAATAGAACCAATCACAAAAAAAACATATAAACATTTACAAAGGCACATTTTATCTGACCTTCAAACTACATAAATCGAAATATAGAGGACTCAATATTTTTCAGACCTTCAAAATACATATATATATACAGAGAGACACAGACCAAAAACATAAATATACAGACACAGCTCTTTAACTGACGTTCAAACCACAAATAAACATTAATAGCGACACAACCACTCATAGGCTCTTTATATGACCTTCAAACTATACAAATATACATCCAGGAATCACACAAATTTTCACAGTACAGTTAAGTAAGAGCCCTTGGAAATCAAATTTTTTACCTAATCCAGTATACAAGGGAGACATTCACTGTTATGACCTACCAGTGTAAAGAGGACACAGGACAGGACCATAAGGCTGGTGAAGAGGTTGGCGATAAGTACGAGACATACAATAAACACACAGACAGCAGCTAGTGCCAGGTTCCTGTACAACTCCATCTGGATAACCTGAAATGTAATATCACGTAATTTAACAGTTCTGTTACTATTAAACATTGTCAACAATCACATCATTGTATACTTTCTCATCAGGCTTTGTGTTACATTGTATAAATCTATGCCAAGAGATGTTTTCTAATTTATAATTAAATGTAATATTGAACTTTGACCTTCAAACATATGTTTTTAACAAGAAGTAATATATGAAATTTAACTTGTGTCATCACTTAAGAGACTTGAATGAGGTGCCAATTCAGCAATTACTTTACATAACATTTTAAGGTAAAAGAATAGAGGCAACAAATGCAGGAAAGCCTTGAGAGCAGAAATCTATAATGCTCTGTGCTGTCATCAAAAGCCAACACTGTTGAAAATTAACAAAATTGTTCATTAATTAATTAAATTATATATGAGATAAGCTGTGGAATACCTTGTTTGTGTACCATCGTAAGTAGAATCTTCCATAGGCGAAACAATTGTCATTGGGGAAGAGTCCCGACACGATGCCCATAGTGTCGTCCATAGCTTTAATTTTGCTAGACGAGTCGGTTAACACGATGTGTGTGTATTTAATGAAGGATGCCTACAAAATAAAGTCTCCTATTAGCATAGACTCTTTGTGATAATATATCCAGGGTAAAAGTTCACCATGTTTTTGTAGTGACCATCTCTGGCAGCACAAGCAGTCAAGAGAAGTAAAATTTATATACTAAATTCAATACAATACTGGTATTTCTTGCACTTTAATATTGAAATGAACAAGATTGATTTGGTAAAAAAAACACAGCCAAAGAAGTGACAAACTCTAGGTAAAACATCATCAGAAGCTACATAAAACAAGCGTTTCCTACTTCAGTTTAGATTGGTCAATATATAATGACAGTGATAATAAAGATTTTAGAATACTACTTTAGTAAAGTGACATTTTCACCTGCAGTTTTCACAATAACAGAAACCTGTCCCCTAGGGTGTCTAACAAGCTACAGATACTGAACAGCAATCTTTCCTATTTATTGGGTTAGAGAAAAATCATCTCATTTGATCAGAGAAGCAAGACAGAATAACAGCTTTGGCTTCAAATTAGACATTTGAATCCTGCCTCTTTGTTTATATTTTTATGTCTGGCCAAGAAATGGATGAACAGATCACTTGTCTTTTTCCTGGACCATATCACAGACAGGCAGTGGACCCAGGACCATGATGTTAGAACATGAAGACAGGCCAAGGGCTCCTAGGACACCATATTTCAACATGACATGAACTCCTGTAACATTGAACTTACCTGGGCAATGATATTGAATTTTAGGCCAAGGAATCCTGGCTGTTCATGATTTTGAACTTACAGATTTTCAGACAGGACATGAACTTCTGTGCCTTAACCCAGATATCAATCCTCACAGTCAGGACATGAACTGCTGTAACATTGAATTTTCAGACAGTGACATGAACTCCTTGGCTGTTATATTGAATTTACAGATAGGGCATGAACTTATGTGCTGTTTTATTGAACTTACAGACAGGCTATGAATTCTGTGCTGTTTTATTAAATTTTCAGACAGGACATGATCCCTGGGTGATGATAATGATTTTGCAATCATGACATGAACTCCTGGGCTGTGTTATTGAACTTACAGACATGATGAGGACCAATGGGCAGTGGAATTGAACTTACAGACAGGGCTGAGCACCATTGGGTGATGATATTGAACTTACAACATGAGCACCATCCTGGGCTGTGTTATTGAACTTACAGACAGGGCAAGCACCATTGGACTATGATATTAAACTTACAGACAGGCCAAGGACTCCTGAATTGTTGGTGAACACCAGTTCGCTCCTGTGACGCAGTCCTGTAGCCTCAGTCGTCACAAACTCATATAACAGGTCGTAGAAATTTACAGAGGAACTTGGATATTTATCTAGAAAAAATTAATTTAATCAAGTTTAATTCATTGGCACCTTTAAAGAAATACATTTAAATTTCTCCAGATAATAATTTTGGTTTTACCAGGGTCTACGCTTTTTGTATTGATGGCTGGTTTCTATGACATCAACTGGGAATCCATACTAAAAAGGGCCAATTCTCCTCACAAAATATGTGGAAAATTAGGTATGTTATATAATCATAATTTTTTTCAATTCTATTGTAGCGATGCTGCTTTCAAGCAGCCCAGGAAAGTACAAGAGTTTTAACAAACTTACTGGCGTCCAGTCTGGAGGTGACGGAGGCTGTAGAGGTAGAGCTGAGCCAGTCTGTGAAGGACTTGAACCAGCTATCTGTTGTCCCTGAGGATATGTCACTGCTACCAGTTAGCTGAGTGTACAGGGAGTCAAACTGGGTCTTACTAGAAAAGTAATCAATATTCTCTGAAAATATATAACATATTTCTCTAAATAGCAACGAGCCATTAGTTTGAGTCACCATGTTGTTACTCATCAGGTATTTATCATAACACTGTAAACAATGTGAGTCATCAGAAACAAAAGCTGGAACAGAACAATTCATGTAACTCACAAGATTCCATGTCTGTTAGCATTTTACATAACTCACTAGATTTTATAAATCTGATAATTTTATGTAAATCATTAGATGATGTGTCTATGAGGAGATATTGTAATTTCTACATCTCTTAAGCAACAATTATAAATAAAAAGAAAATGTGAGACAGTTTTCTGAGAATAAGTTTTGAAATAATTTAGGAAGATACATCCTCAAAAAATCTTATTCTAGAACACCATTTAACTTTTATTTAACTTTTATGTTGAAGTAACCGTTACTGAACCTTTCATTAACACTCACTACAGCAGACTGGCGCTCAAGCCCCTGTGTTTAAGTATTCGTTACTGAACCTTTAATTAACACTCACTACAATAGACTGCCGCTCGAGCCCTTGTGTTTAAGTATTTGTTACTGAACCTTTAATTATCACTCTCTACTGTAGACTGCCGCTCGAGCCCCTGTGTTTAAGTATTCGTTACTGAACCTTTAATTAACACTCACTACAGTAGACTGCCGCTCGAGCCCCTGTGTTGAAGTATTCATTACTGGCACCGTCATACTTGTAGGGATAGGAGTCCGTTGGGATAAACCATATGGAGTTATTCTCATGCTTCAGCTCCACAAAACCCCAAATACCGAAGCCCAGGAAGATGGCAGTCACAATCATAGTTGCTATCTATATTCAGTAAAATAAAATCTGCATTCCAAATTCTATAACGTATGCATTATTATCTGGTACTTCTGTATCAAAATCAAAACATTAACTGCTATACTACAGAGTGTATCAGCAGAATTTATTCTACAAAACTTGAAATTAATGTTAATCTTAGCATTTGTAATGTATGTGTTTGTGTCCATTGATATGTAAGCACACTGTCAATAACAAATACATTTCCTGCTCTGAATTGAATGAAAAATATATTTGTAATCATATATGATTGTTAAATAAGAATTGCCTGAACCACACACTAAGCAGTCAGTATACAGAGGCAGGACGTAACGGAAATACCTTTACTGGTAAACGCATCAAATTTGGTGCGTAAAACTTCTTCATTGCTGCGACAAATAATTCTGTTTTACTGCATTCGTTTGGCTGATAGTAAGCATTGTGCCTGTAGCAACATATACATGCATTTCTGTCATCATCACGTCTCTTAGCACTCAAAGCAATACAGCCGACGTAAAATGTCGCCGCCAACAGGAACAGGGCAAATATGCCCAGGCAGCAAAACACACAGAAGGACCGCAGCGCTGGCAGTACCTGGAAAGGAAGTCAAAATATTGGTGAAAGAGAATGGTTAAGATGATCTTTATATATTGTGTGACAAATAAATTGCACCTCCACAACAGATCTGTAGTTGGACTCCCTGATCAAAATACCGATGAGTATTAATGTGTCTTTTTATAATGTAATATCAAAACACAGCATTACTTACTGTGGTGTCAAAGCATCTATCTGAGCAAGTAAACCAGAAATTGGCTGTATCTGATCATGATTCTACTGAGGGCACTTAAAATTGCAGTGCACTTCTCTTGTAAAAGAAAAAGCTCTAACTCTGACTTATAAACATTTTTGATATCAATTTTTCACTTTCAATATTTTTATTTGTTGCACTAGAGAAAGAAGCAAATTAATTTTTTGGGTTTTATTTTTTGTTTTTGTTTTTTATTCGCAATTGTTATTTCTGGTCCTGATTGACGCAGTTACACAATTTTTACTATCCCCTTTGTCTAATTGGCCGATCGACAACGCAAAAATAACCACGCCTACCGAAAATCAAGGGAGGCTACTCTCACCATCTCCGACAAACAAAATGTCGTCAGCATTGAACGTCATTCCCGATGATATTGGACTTAATTATACTTCTAACGTATCGTTGAAGAAAAAATTAAAAGCGAACGGTTTCGTGTCTGGTTCATACTTTCAACGAGCGTCCTTCCAAACAAGAGACGATGATACAGTTGAAATTAGTGGCCATGTTTTCCCCAGTCAGCGGAAAATTTGGGGATATATACCATCTACGACCTGTTTTCAGTCGAATATTATGAGGTTTTCCTTTTTAAATAAGGTTTACATGGCAAATCACTGCATTTATTCAATATATATACCAATCAATAGGGAATTCAAAATACTAAATTTGTATCTATGAATTACAGCCCTTTCCGTTGTTGAAGGAGTAAAAACTGTCTTTTTCATTTGACGCATATTGCCAGAACCGAGTAAGTCGCCACATTACTACAATCCGTTTTTCAGACGAGTATTTCTGAGACGGTTTTTTTTACTTTTTAAACTAAGTTTATATGTGGTAGCAGTGCAATAATTAAATAAAGAAATATACCGGTCGTTAGGGAATTTGATAACCTAAAATTATGTGTATATATTTTCCCTATACTCGCCATGTTAAATCGAGTCGATTTCAGTCTCTTTTGGTATACTGTGACTCACTGGTCACTTATTGGGTTTTCAGATTTTTACTCAACTGTTTCCGTGAAATCGATAATTTTGCCATTTTAACAGTCAATGTCACTTTTATGGTTCATCTTTGAAAATTTTCATTTCTTGTAAAGTGGTCACAGTAACCTATATTTTCATATATAAATATATATATATATATATATAAATTTTCGCTGAAGATACCCTTTAAACACCACACAATGTTGAATCTGTGTATGTTTTTTTCCTCTTTACATTTTTGTTAATAATTAAAAAGATAAAAAACAAAAAAACAAAACAAAGTTCAAGTGGTGTGATAGTTTTCTATGGAGCAGAATTAATGAAATAAAAATAAAAACAGTCGCCATGCAGGGTTAGCTCAGTTGGTAGAGCATAGGCTCCACGACCAGAAGGGTGCAGAGGGCCAGGTGGGTTTGAATCCCTGCAGCAGCAATTTCTTTCCCTTGAAAATTCACCTCTCATCTCTGTTTCAAGTGGGAATGAAGTGGTAAACCCCAAAGAAACAAACAAAACAAGTTTGCGTTTACAGTCATATAAAGTCTTTATAAAATGGCCACCAAGATACATTACTGATATAATGGTTACTTTCTAAACTGGCATTAAATTCTTAAATTTTTGGTTTTTTATGTATATCATGTTAATGTTTTTTTTTTTTTCATCAAGAATGTTAATACCTTATTGGAAGACTTTAAAAATTTTATTTCAACTGTTTAACCATAACAGTAAACACTCATATTATCACAGACCATTCACAAAGTAAAACTTTGTAAAAGAGCAGAAACATGTCCAGATAATTTCATTTCCCTTCATTCAATAAATATCCGAAAATGGTCAGTCCGAAATCAAGCTTGTTTATAAATACACACATTAACATGCGGCTTATTAGCACATGAGAGAGGATTATAAAACTTATGCTAGCAAAATTTTGAGTGAAAAAAAATACTGATGTTCATTGAGTCTGTGAATATTTACGCACTTTTGAGCAGACATAAAAATAAAAAAAAAAATGCTTTAATCTATAAGGACACCGCAGGATCTCCTCGTTAAGTTGATACTTAGGCCGTCCGCACAATCGGAGCCAAGATTTTCACTTCTCATGCTTCATCTGAGATTTGGGAAACGGTATGAACACAACACCTCCCTCTAATCGCTCTGGGTAGCGAAATCGGTGTTGCAAATTTCCCCAGCAGCAACGTTTCACCATTGTCGGAGAATGTCGGAGTAGCGAAACGTAAACAAAGAGGCGAATACTACCCGCGATCTGATTGGCTAAACCGCGCTGTCAATCAAAAGCTGTCGATCGGCCAATTACTGAATGATTCCCAATACTAACTCAATAATAACCAGCACCAGTCCAACACAATCCAATCCTACGCAATACCATACATCACTCAAGATTAAACACTGTTCGTCTACCACTGATGGAATAATCAGACAAATTTGACCAAGGTCCTGTGACAATGAATACAGTAAATCTATTAACAGACTTTGTTTAACTTCATCAAAGCGCCTATCAAACATACACATCATGATTCTAGATATCTGATTCAACA